AGCAGGAATCTGAGGCTGAATGTAGCTTTAACCTTTTGGAGAAGGAGAAGTATAAGTGAACTGGTAGCCTACTTAGTGAGGTAAACTGAGTGTCTCTTTGTTTATATTCTTAGTGTGGTAGTAATCCCGAATATGCTGCAGTATTTTTAGGAGTTGCTTAAATGTTGTAACTTCATTGTAACTATTTATTCTTTAAATAATAATGGAAGCATATACTTAAACCTGTGCTCTACTTGTAACATCTCTGATTTTATTTTTAATGTCTCTAGGATACAGGATCTTGGAGTAGTAGTAGACTGCCTTCCTGTGCTTACAAACAGGTACAAACAAAAAGAAGTGGGGGATAAGAATCTGCTATAACCATGCTGAAGTTCAAGCATTTCTGAAACATGTTTTTTTTTTTTTTTAAGTTTACAGGAAGAAAAACCATATATTTCAGTTGGCTGCTGTGTAGATCTTTTGCCTTTAGTGAAATCACTGCTTAAAAGCAAATATGAAGAGTAAGTATCAGTTTTGGATGTTTTCAAAATACTATTATTTCCTGGCTATGCAATGCCCTAGAATTTAAAGGTGTTTAGTCTTCTGACTCTTGTTCCCTTTGCCCCTTCTCCTAACCCTGCCTTTCTCAGGGAACACCTACATAAAAGGGAGCTTTCCTGTGAACCTTTCTTCTTTAACAAACCAGTGGTGCGAAAACTTTTTGGCAAGATTAAGGACCTGGGGAGGCTGGCTTTGCCCCAGTGCAGATTTATTTATCCTAAACAGTAAAACAAAATGGCACCAAGGGTTTAGTATGCTTTACAACACAAAATTAGGGCAAAGTTTTCAAGCAAAATACTTGAAGAATTTCTACTTCTTCAACAAGAGCTTTAGTTTACCACTTTGAAATTGAAACTATAGGTAAGTGTTTAAACCTAGGAATTTACCTAGGTATTTTCTTTCAGAATAGAAAACGTGTTGCTTTCTAAGTTGCTTACCAATTTGTCTTGATGCTTTAGCTGACCTGTAGATATTGGAGGCAGGGGGCAAAAAAAGGTATAATATGTAAAATATGTTGTTACAGATATGTGATAGTTGGTTTAAACTGGCTTCAGGCTGTCATTAAAAGATGGTGGTCAGAACTATCTGCACATAAAGAAAAGGCAGAGGATGGGTAAGTATAGTACTGGGTAATATTTAAATGTGTTTCTGTAGCTTATTCCATCTCAATCTGTTTTACCTTTGATCACTAGTAGTATACCTTATTTACAAAAAATATAATTTGAACATAAAAGCTTGAAAGTACTTAAAGTTCTGTTCTCAAGACACAAGTAGTGTTTGGAAACTTACTTTAAGGATTGTTTTGGGGGCTTTAATGGAGTTTTAAGACATGTAGAACATAGTTATATCAGGGGTTATACAAATGCTGTAGTTGCATGAAATCGTATAAAAAATTTTCTGATATTGTGGCAATATCATATAGACTGTCTACATGCAGTATTAATCACGTGTTTCAGTCAAAGTCTGATGAAATGTAGTATAAATGTTATAAAGTGTTGTTTATTCTCTTCCAGAAATATTCATATTTTAAAACAACAATTAAATGGATTATGGGAACAAGAGAATCATCTTACTCTAGTTCCAGGATATACTGGTAATATAGCTAAGGTAATCCAGTTCCAGTTGTGTTTAGTAATGAACATAGCTGTATGACTTGCAGTATTCCTCTCATTTTATGTTATTTACGCTAAACTGTTGATGGATAGAAACATCTTTATTTTCCACTAATGCTGAAGTATATTGCCCAGTTTTTACGGAAGTCTCAAGTGGATTCTCTATGCTAATAGTAGTGTGGTTTAGAATGCTAACAATTAATTTTTTTATCCTTTTTTCTTTACAGAGAAAGCATCTCCTTAATAGTAGCTAATAGTAATAAGCCTTAACATTGATATGTAAAAAGGCCCAAATGAGTAGGTAGATTGTGAAAGGACAGATGTTTTCTCTGAAATAGGCTGTACCCATTGTTGTAAGTGTAATGCAGCACGGTGAATCTTAGCCCAGCGATGTTGTTAACACTTGCACATCAGGTGACAGGAGCAAGTGGCAACATACTAAATTCCAAAGCTTATTGCTGGCCTGATGCTTAGAAAAAGATGAGTTTGTGGAGAGTAAACAGTGTCTTCATCTGAAGTGAAGCCCTGTTTGCCTTTCTCAGAACACTGTGGTATCAGTAATATAATGAGGATGTCTGGTAAATGCATGATTTGCTACTCCTGATACCAATCTCTCTAAACATGGCTTTCTGAAGTTGGGCACCAAGAGTTACCCTGAGTAAGGAACCTCTGCATGGAGTGACCTGATGAAGGTAGACAGTGAGAAAGGACTTAAACCAGACACTTGGTTATGTGCAGGATTTGAGTGAACATGAACAGAACTTGGAGAAGGCGTGCTTTACTTATATCTGAAGGAGCTTTGTGGAATGTATAACTGTATGCCTACAGACATAGTTTTGTCACTTTGTATCAAACAAACAAGTTATTTCTTGTTCTTTTGGGACTGCTGTGCACCTCAGACTTGAATTTTTGTGTCTCTGCAAGGATAAATCCAAACTTCTTACAGAGTTTCAGTCAGCAGGGATGCAGAAGAACTGAGTTCTAACTCCCAACTGGTGGATCTTGTAATACAGACTGTGTAGTTCCTCTGGTAGATCCGCATAGCAGTTACAGCCAGTGTCAGTTTGTTTCTCTAGGATTCAGGTTCCCTTTCTGTTCATTTGCCTACTTCTTAAGGTGTATCAGGGTAGATTGTGACCAAGGCCACCTGAAGAGGTCAGGAGGAACAGGAGTAGTACAAGAACATTGGAGGGATGGGGTGAAGGAATGTCACTTTAATAAACATGTTTCAAATACATGATGTCATGATGATGACGACTTTCTTCCCTGTGCATGCAAGGGGCGGAGGAAAAACAGGCTAAACTCTTGGCTTTGGATACTAATCCCACTGTCCTTGCAGGCTTTTTAGTACATAAATGCTATTGAAAGCATTAATTGAAAGTAATCTTGAAGATAACTTGTTATGAAATTTGGCCTAACCATAATTACCATTATATTATGGTCCTGACTGGTTACCCTGCCTCAGACATCTAGACTGTGTTACAGCTATATGTGACAAATGCTTTTTCCTTTTTTTCGTTCTAGGATGTAAATGCTTATTTATTACAGCTACACTGACATGGCTGGGAAACTGTGTGCTTAAGTGGTGAAACAATCCCCTAAAGTATCCTTGAAATATGTACTATTTCTGAAAGCCTTTTGAGAAGTACTGGCAGAAGAGAACTGAACTGTCAAGCTGTTTAATGAAACCACTAACAAAATCCTAACAATCTACTTCACATTGAAGTGGAAAAATGTATAGTAGGAGCAACTTTTACTTCAGTGAGGTGAAAGTGCACTATGAAAACTGTATGCCTTTGCTGCATTTGGGATTCACTCAGTTACTAGGTATTCATTTAAATGCTACTGTATTTTACTACAACATCAGATAAAAGAAGATGAATTATACTATCATAAAGACAAGACAGAAGAACCAGTTATAAGGAACCAACAAAAGCTATTAGCTTTAAGAGCTTTTAAATCTTTTTCACAAGAGAACTCCAAAATGCACAACTATCTTCCAAATACATTAAAAAAAACCCCTTTGGAATATTCAACTACTATGTTTTAATCAAATTATTAAAGACAGTTTTTGTTTGCACTATTGAGAAATAATGCCTTAATTACTAGTGTTTCAAAAAGCCAATGTGTTAAGATGCAAATAGCTGATATGTTCAGATTGTGATGGAAAACTACAAAAATCAGGGTTTCACATTATGTAGTTAATGAAACATTGCACATATACAAAAATTCGTGTATGAAAAATATTATAAATACCTGAAGTTAAGCTTGGATAAACAGTAATTGCAAATGTCAGCAGAATGGTCAATTTATGTCTAACGTGTTTTTATATCGTATGTGGATTTCTAACACAGTAATCTTGTTCTGTATCATTTAAACTACATGCAAATAAGTAAATATATTAAATGTATCTACTGTTTTTTCTTTTCAAGTTCATAAAAACAATTTCTAGAATAATCTCTTCTATAGTACTTTTTATCACAGATATTTATGCCTATTGTTTGAAATGTTTACAGCCAGATGAGGCCATGTTATTCAAATCGCACCCTTTTTATACTACCTCCTTTAAGAAACTGACAAAGACCTTTTGCAAAATCTAATCAAGTTCTATCGTGATCAATGATGGCAAATTCATACCAACAATGACATTGAAAATACCGCTACAAATTCTTTTGCTGTCCTATTGCTATCTTGTATTTTAATTTAAAAGCTATAGCTTAATAGCTCTGAGGAAGTTTTGATTTTAGGTTTGCTATTGCTTTTTTTATTTTGTGATTAGGAAGCATACTTTTCCAATTAAAACTTATAAAGTGCCAGCTGTTCACTTAAATATACATGCACCTCATGTATCACCAAATAGTCCACTCTGTTAAACTAAGTACTTGCAAGGGTTGTTTTCATGCCTAGCATTAAGCATATGCACTTTCATTGACATGCAGGATAAAGTATTTTGAGAGCCCCAAGTGGTTTTTGCTTTACAGGTGACATAAATGAACCTTAAACTCCTGTAGTGGTCAACAGCTTTAGGCTTCCTGTTGCTTCATCTTGTATTTAATTTACATACTATTGCTGACTTCTGAAAGCCAACTAGAAATCTGTCATTAGACCTTGGTGCTTTTGATTATTTGAATATTCTTTAAACCACCAAAGGCTTTGCGCATCCCAGGGCAATCGGCTACAGGGAAGTTTCTGGGACATCCCAAAACTGAGAACTCTGGGACAATCTCAAGATACGCACATAGCCAAATTCCTTTTACTAGAATTGTTACACACTGTTAGAGATATTTCATACTCAAAAGAGTTTGAGATGGAACTTAAGTTTTCAAATGTTCTTGCTGTCAATTAAAAATTTAAAGGAACTACAGTATGGTGATGCTCTTTTATTACTTTACGATTTCATTGAGCACTTAAATGTAAAAGTAACATGAAGACTAGTGTCGTAATTTGGGTAGCAATTGCTGAAACTCTCATTATTCCTTAAGGAGAATACTGTAAAGGTGATGAAAACTCAAATCTTATTTTTGCCTGCTTTTTTAATAGAGAAAAAAAAGTAACAACTCATGGCCATTTATTTCTAACAATGCAAGAAGTGATCATTGTAATTGATTAAAGTGAAATACTCCAGAATTCAAAAATACAGCTTGTCTGTAGATGTAAATACATGGGCTTATAATGAACTCTGCATGTGGCCATGGTTTAGCAAATCATAACTGTGGATGGTGCTTTTGTTCTAGTGGCAAGGTAAGAATGATTTGAGGATTGTTTTTGAGAAATATCTAATAAAATAATGCATTATTTTTAACTGCCAAAAGTTGTATTTTTACAGCATCGATAATACAGTATTAAACACTAAGTCATTGGTATCTGTGCCTTATTTAAATGAACTTTTTTACTGTTTTCAGGCAGCTACTAGACTGTAAGAACAGGAATTTGATCTTTTTTTGTTACCTTAAAGAACTCATTTAAGCTATTCACGCTGACATTCAGGCTCAGCTTGTTGTATGCTCTTCAGTTCAAAATGGCTAGGAATCAGGTTTGCTGTAATAGAATGTATATGTATGATATCTGCTCAAAGGTGACATGAGTAAATGTCTTAATAGCTGTGTATCTACATGAAATCCATGTAGTTATTTCAGTGCATCTAAGAATTAGGTTTATGAGCAATAATGTGCATAAATGCTAGTCTTTATTTGATACTTTCCGAAAATGCTATTTCTATGATGTGTCAAAAGATCCAGGCAGAATTAACACTTTATCCTGTATGTTCTTGTGATGCGGAAGCATGTACGTACTTGAGGATGAAGGATGCCTCCACAAAGCTGTTCTTCATGTTGTACCACTCGATATGAAATTAATGTATTTGAGAAACAGTATGGCTTTTGCCTCAATGTTCTTTGAGAGCACTTGAGGCTGCTTGGCTGAAAGGGTTTTTATTTTAAGCATGAACTAGGACTTACCTATCCCCTAAACTAAAATTAAAGAAGCCTTCTCACAAGCTGCCTCTTTCTGCAGAGCTAGAAAAAACCCCTGTATTCTGTTAATGCAAGAATCAAAGTTTAGATGCTGCTGATAGCTTGCTGCAGAGTGGAGATAGAAAAAGCTACTCCATTAATTAGCAGGGTACAAAGAACCTTGTGTGTCTTAATCATTATGTATAGCTCCATTTTGAAGGAGTTACACCTGTTTCATAGTAGAGAGTGCTCTGCAGTGGAACGCTTGAATCACATTGGTACTGCAGTTCCAGGCTACTTGATAGTGCTTCTAAATTGTTAGTGATATTAAAAAAAAAATACCGTCAGCCCTCCAGCTTATATTCTGCAATGAGGTATAATTATAATGGTCTTTCCCTTTCTGTAGGCTGCCTTATTGTTATTGGAGGCTGCAGCTTCAACGCTTGGGGTGCAAGAGGGAGAGAGTAGGAAAGGACAAAAGTAAGTGCTCATGCTCTGAGTGACACCAGCCCCACTGCATTATATTGTATTTTCATTTACTGGTGTCTGAAGGAGGCAAGTTTGGAATCACAGGTCTTTGTGCATTTTGCCTTGAAGAGATACAAGTTTTGAAGATGAATGCTACAGTGCTGATTAGTGTTTTAGGTTTTTTTTTTTCTTGAAAGGATTGACATTTCTATGTGTAGAAACTTGAAAGTATCTTCTGCAAAGTTTACATTTTGAGACTAGCAAGTAGTTGTTTCTGCAAGTTCATCTTGCAAGCTCTTCCAGTTTTACAGAAGACTGAATGTCTCTTAGTGTGGAGATTTGTAGCTATATTTTGTGCCCAGTTTTCTGGTACAAAGGGAAACAAGTGGTTCGTAGTCAACTATTTCTGAATACAAAACCATGCAAATCATGCTAATAGTCTGAAGTTATTCCAGCTTTTGTACAATGCAAATTCTTTAGTTTATGAAAGCAGTTCATTCTTGTATGAGGAACTTTATCTTGAACTGATGCTGCATTAGAGGAGGAAAAAAAAGCAGTTTTTAATAGCCTTAGTAAAAGCCAGACAGTGTAGTTTAATTTTCATCTTCAGTCTACTATCCTACACATAATCATTGTAGACTACAGATAAAGATTCACTGAGAGAATAGATTGAGCATGCTTGTGTTGTTAGTGCTTATAGTATACTTCATTAAACAGTTTATTTTTATTCCATATCAGTTAAATGGTTTGTTTGCTGTCTTAGGATGAGTTTAAATGCAAGCATTTATTTTCTCCCACTACCACATTAATTCTTCAGCACTTCATGATGTTATTTCTTCTAGTTTAAATATACTGTGAGTATCTATTGTTAGAAGCAGGGTGGGGAGGATGAAAATTCTCCCTGAAACATAGGGCTAGCTATTTAACATTATTCATTTTGAAGCAATTGTGAAAGTTTTCCCTCTTTTAAAACTTTTCACACAAATTTTGTTAATACATGCTAATCAAAGTAGGCGCTCATGGCTGTGAGTTTGAATTTGAACTTGTTTGAAAAAAGTGTTTCCACTCTAACCATAGCTGTAATTTTTTTTTTCATTGAGTACTAAGTTGGACTCTGCTACTAACCTGCCTTGTGGGAGGCAGGAGGTGTAGCACCATCTCTTGATAGGACAGAATAGAAATAATCAGAGTTTGACCATTGCAGACCTAGAATATTTTTGTTTCCATACTGACTAGAGTTTTGTAGTGTATCTTTATGTAGATTGCAGCTGCTGATCATACTGCTATAAAATGAGATCTACTGCTTTCAGGTTGAATGTAGTATGTAGTTGTTTCCAGTTCATACAGATCACTGCTTCAATTCAGTCAGTCATTACTTGGAGCTTTATACTGTAGATGAACAACTGTTAACATCTCGAACATCTGTACTTTTGCTGTAACAAAATACAAGGATGCCATGTTCATATTTTCCACCTGTTTTTTTCCTTATTCCTTAATTTCAGTGCTTAAAGCCATTTGAATTCCCATTGGGAAGTGATAGCTGCCAAAACACACATGATAAAAATGCTTTTACAAATATGCTCATGACTTGGTTTAATAAACTTCTGTGAATAATAGTGTTCTGTGAATTTGAGAAGAGGTTGTATAGGCTTGAAAGAAACAGAGCTAGTGGATTTTAGTGAGATGGCAACCATTTTCTTGGTTTATTTTTTTTAGGTAAGCACTATGTAAATTGTGAAACAACTAAAACAAGTCTAGATATCAAGATAATGTTGCATTCCAAGACTGCCTACTCTTGTGGGTGTAAGTGTTGGAATACATACACACCCTAACATCCCACTTTAAAGTAACCTGCAGACAGTTTCAAATATCTCTTGTAATTTAGGTCGATGGCTTTTTTCCAAGTTATATTTCATCTACTGATCTTCACTTTCAGAAAGTCAGAATTATGTTTGGATCTTGCTGTTGCTACTTCCACGCTTGTTTCGGATATTCCATGGATTGAAAGACTTGGATAGTACAATAAGTATTCCAGCTTCGGGAAAACAGCTGGTCTTTCTGTCTCTGACAACAAACTTTCATTACACCTCTCTTCTGCATAAGACAAACTTTTCTGCAGGAGTTAAATAAT